GTGCTCAATAACCACTGTAACGTGGGATGACTAATAGAGAAATAATGCATTGATGCCACTGCTGTGGTTTTCAAAATGATTTAATTCGAAATCCCAGTTTAATGTGCCAGTCATGCACAAATGCAAAATACACCACGAAACTCATATAATGACAGAGAACCACATGAAACATGGTCACAAACTTTAAATACTGTTTACTTGGACATGTGGTTGTTGACAGCAGCACTGGGACACTGAAGCATTGCTATGAATATATAATTCTCTTAACAAACAATAATTTTGAGTGTTGATGTGGTTTTTGTCAGCGTCACGAATTTTAGAATTGAATAGAAGCAGGATGAAGTTCTAGCCCATACCATGTTTATGTAAAACATATTGGAACTCTCCAAAGTGTCTGGCATAGGAGCTCAGAAAGTCCTATAAAGTGAATATTAGTTTTCTAATCTTTAAATATTTGCCTTGAAGTCCTTGTAAACATGCCAATAGAGGATTTTATGCTTAAATTCTTTAATTAAGTTGTTCCAGGAATCCAGTGCAGCGCCGTCTCCGTTTGACCTCAGGACTCAGCTATGTTGTTTTGTGACAACAGCCAGTTTTGTGAGATTAAAGAGATCTGTAATGTGAACAGTTGTTAAAGATCTTTTTCTCACATTCTGTCTACAGTAAATCACCACAAGACCCGCTTCTTGGAATCAGCTTCTCTATTTGTCAGCAGTAAAGTCAAGACGTTTCACAAGTTGCCATTTTATGATCTGTGATATCAAATGCAAACCAAATGCAGCTTCTTCTAAGAAAAAGAAAGCATTATGTTTATAAAATCACATTTAAGCTTCTACAAGCTGTTATCGACAGAGAAGACGGGTTGTTTTGTTCACCGTTTTCTACTTTATGTAACATGTTGTATTGTGTCAATTTTTGACGGCATCTCTACTGACCTGTAATGACTCAAACAAAAACCCTCAAACAACACAAGTGCTATAAAATGATATTTATTACTGCATACTAATATAAATGTGATTTCAGACATAAGGGGATATAAACATTTAACTTGATCGTCCAGGTCAAATTACCGACGTGTCTCAGCTTGTTGGTCCCACTTACAAAGGAAACTTACAAAGTTGTACAATCACTTAGATGCAGCTAAAAGCAGGCTCAAAATGGCAAGAAATAGATTTTAATGAGTCACATACTGCATGATCAGCTGACTTGATTGATGTTGTGTCCAGGCGTTAAAATGATAAACATATTTCAGTGTGCTCTATTTCAGTCTTCCAAATGACGGCAAACACGTTGTCTGGATTCTCAGAATACGCACATTTCACGATTACTGAGAACAGTGAAAGCGTTTCTAACCACATCTTAGAAACACTGTACTGAAATTACGCTACATAAAATGGGTTCATCCTAGGCTTTTCTTTATCACTGGACTGAGTGTTATTAATATTGGCACTGTCCCATTTTCTTAAAATGAACTGTAACATGCAATTTTTTCTCCCCAAGTGACAATGTTGTGAATACAGAATAAATGTGTTCCTTCTGATCGGGAGTTTTTATATTAGATTTATATGTGATTATTAAGTGCTTGTATTCACTTTACTTTCAGCTACCTTTATCCTTCTCATTGTGAGATGACGTTAGATTAGATTAGATTTTTCTTCAAAAAGCGTTTTGTTTGTTTCTGTTGGCTGGCATACAAACAGAGACACAGCCACGGGGTAATTAACATGTAATGCACTTGCACATACACAAATGCTGGCAATGACATTGGTCAGTTACACAGGTGACTTTGCAGGCTCTACAAAGACTCACCACAGAAGTCTAGACAGACAAGTTCATGCAGCACGGCCCCTCCCCCCACTAGCAGCTGAACGCATCAACAGACTCGGCAAAGCATCTTAATTTATATCCTGTCTTTCTGAGGAAATTTGAGAGGTCAGTAAAACTCCTGTTTCAAACACATTTAGTATTACTTAGTTAACACAAACATTAATCTGACTGGCATAAATGTTAGCATTAGCCATTTAACTGTTAGCAGCTAACCCACGTTAGTTGTCTGTTATCATTAAGCTAGCAGCTATGGCTAATAATGAAATATTAACGGTAATTTTGGAGCTAGGCAGCAGATTTTATCAGTCCTGCCTGTATGTAAAGTTAATGGACTGTTAATTTAACACGAAGGCACAGTTGTTTTTGTAAAAAAACTGTTTCATTTCTCACTGGCAGCCTACCTCTTCAACTCTGTTCAGCAACAAAAACGTGGGACTAAGTCAACAGAAGCACAGAAAATGAACAGGGCTGTGGTTCAATCCTTTGCATGAACCAGCATTGTTCTAATATTTTAAAAGAAGTATGCCTATTTTGTCATTTTTTCATCTGCGGTGTTAGAAATAGCATCAGGTATTGAGTATTTTCCTGAGTGTCGGAATTCTAGTATCGCGAAAACCCTACTCAGGACATTACAGCCCAGCCCTGCTTCGACTGTCTGACCCTGGGAGACTAATTTACTGTTTAAAAAATAGATAATAATGATAATAAGAAGAATATGTGTGCTCCTGGTCACACTCCTCGTTCAAAGCTGCAAGCTCTTCCACTGCAATTTCCCGTTTGGTCTCTGGGTCTGAGCACCCAGCTGTCATTCCTAGTAACGATCCTCAACATAAAAGCTGAGTCTGTTTGAAACAAAAGTCGATGGTTGCTCTCTGCACAAGTTACAGGTCCATGATGCCTCATTTAAGTCATGTCTGACCTCAGCTTTTTATGGGCTGTGTTGTGGAACTTTTTAACCTTCCCTTGTTATGTGAGTTTTTAAATCATTCACTTACATACAGCTTAACCAGCAAATTTCTTTTTCCTTCCCAAAAGCTTTTACATGGCTCAGAAATGTATTACTTAAACAGCTCTCACAAAGCATTTTCAGACTAATTTCCAGCCACAGAAACATTACTGCTCTCCGATAGAGGTGAAATATTTGGCAATAATAACACGTGGACACCTCACGTCTTTAGGTAACACAAGCTCTCCGTGTGCTTTGTGTTGTTTTCTTAGAAAAATAGAAGCTACATTGTAAAATTACTAAGGGTCACAGTTTCCCTCTAGCTTTCCCCGTGAGGTAATAAAGCTTCAACAGGTAGTGTTTTTCAGTGCTTATTCATAGCTACACAAAGTACTAAGGCTAAATATGATGGTAAGTTTGCACTCTATATGTAAATAATACTGTACATACATTTACATAGTGGTTTGAATAAACATTCTGTATAAATGCATTTTTAGTGTCACCGAGTTGTCCTCTAGAGAGGCCTCAGCGTAGGAATATGAACGTGTTTATGTAGCATCGGTTTCATCAAAGCTTTTGCATTTACTATTACAGCCTGAGGAGGCACACTTCCATTATTTCATCAGCATTTTGGGGTTGATCTTTGAGTCTTTCAGTCTGCGGCGAGTCCTGTAGAAGTGACTCCAGGTTCCCCTTCTGACTCTGATCTGAAGGCCAGTTTGTCGGCACTGAGACTGCTGTTTGTCCCTGATGGGAGCACTGGTGTGTACAGGAGGAGGTGTGCAATTAGTGTGTTTGCATTTATGAAGAGCTTGTGTATTTCTGACTGGAACGGGAGCTGGAGCGGTCTAGTCCGTTACCGTGGCATGAGCCCTTCCAGCGTCCTTGGTCATCCAGATGAGATGTTCTGTAACACCAGCAACACAGGCAAGACTACGAAACAGCAAAAAAAAATATAAGGTTTAGACTTTTGACAAATAGGTTTTCTTGTAAAACCACATTTGTAATTTTATTGCATACCTGGAAACAGTTTTTAAACTTTTGGCTGACAAAGTAGAGGGCAATCGGGTTAATGCAGGAGTTTATGGAGGCCATGTTGATTCCAATGTAATCCATCACTAACAGGAAACTGACAGATAAAAAAGCCAAGGTTTACATGCAAGACTACAGGAAGGTTCAGAATGGAGAACAATCGCACTGGCTATCTACGTGCCTACCTGAGCAGCTCACAGCGATCGGGGTCATCCTCCTCATAGATTGTTTTCTTCAGAATACGGCTGAGATGAAGGGGCAGCCAGCAGAAAGCAAAAATCAACACCAAGCAGAACACTGTCTTTGCTACTTCCCTCCTCTGCAGCACACACACACAAAGAAATCAGAGGAACAGTAAGGTGACCATACCCAGCTCTTGATCTAATCACAATTCACAGGTTACTGTAATGTGTGGTGTACAGAAAGAAAGTTTTTGCTGTCATTGGTTAGCTGTATTTCACAAACGAATATAAAGATCCACTGTGCCAGTGAATTTAGTCATTAGTTTGAGTGACCAGTACTCTCTGAGAAGAAGTGATTCTTGTAAATTATAGCAGACATCGCCATTGCATAAGCTAATCAGTGTAATGGTTCCCAGCATGGCTGTCATCTGCATCTCTACCTGCTTCATGTGGTCATTGAGTGCGATGCGCATGCCTTTTTTGCGGCTGAGCATCTCACAGGACATGAGAGTGTAGAAGATTCCCGTGCAGACCAGAGGGAAACAGAAATAGAAGCCAAACAGCCACCAGTCCTTCGCTTCCTTGTAGAACTGGGAAAAAAACAAAACAAGGGTACTGGAAAAAATACATATCTATTTTTCAAGATAATGTCATGTTAAACCTGTAAGAGGCAGGTACAGTGCAACTTTGGTCTAAGTACATAAATCCATTTGTATCTCATTTGATCCACAAGTTTCCCAGAACTCTGCGTCATCAACATAATCACTGTTTTCCTGGCCTGTTGTACGCCTTTGGTGGATTAGCTGCGTCTTTGCTAATCTTTGCTTATATGGATAATGTTGATATTGTTGCTGATATTTCAGCTTGAATATTTACTTTGTTAAACCAACATAAAATTGTGTGTATTATATTTTACAGTACTGTGAAAAAGTCTTGAGCCACCCCTCTGTTTTTAAAAAAAAATTTCCTAGGAAAAGTGGAAATAGGTGAAAACATACATGGAAATACAGCATACAAGGAAAAATACGAGTTTGTAAAATTGCAACAACCTTGAAAGCCAAAACATGACAGAGCCTCCACGGTGTTTTACAGATGCTGCAGACATTGAACTTTTACATACATGCTGATGATGACTTTCTTATTTCTTAAGGACATAATTTTCAGATACGATTCCTCTGACATAGATAATTGGATACATCTTTTTTTTAGGCCAGCCACTTCTTTTGCACCAAAACATGTTTTTGGGAAACACCTTGATGGTGCAGAATATTATTTTAATGCAAACATTATTTGGCTTCAAAAACTTTGCTGTGTTGTTCTGTTTTTTTCTTTTTTAATTCAGCTCAAGAAATGAGAACAAATAATGTGGTTTTTATGACAGGCTCCATTTAAAAAAGTGCCTAACGATACAATTTAAACTGTTTTTTTGCCAAGTTGACTGTTATGTGTAGACAACATTTACTCATCCCTCATAGATTAATGTTAAGCAGTTTAACAAATGAAAAAACAAAGGGAAAAAAAGATCCTCTAAAAATGTTTAGGCACAAAGACCGGACTAAAAATGTGTGATGATGCAGGCGATGTCCAAACTAAATAAAAACTTTGAAAGACCTTCAGAAAGCCTGGAGGACTTAAAAAAAATAACAGAAACTCTGGTTTCCTGGAGATTGTAAAGAAATGAGGAGTGGCTTATGACTAATAAACAGTACCTTGATTCATAGCAATAATCAGCTTAAATCTGACTATTGATCAAAGCTGACATTGTAGGTTTATAAGATAATTCAAATCCTGATGACACATTAAAAGCCAGCTTCCTGCTTTGTTTCCACTGAACTGTGTGGTTCCTTCCTTCAGATTTAAAAGAACCAAAATATCTTTGTGATTTTGATCCTGGTGCGTGGCTTTATCAATGAACTGTGAAAAAGTAATTTGACATGTTTTGCCTGCAGTGTGTTGTATTGCATTTCTTTGCTGTCACTAATAACTTACTGGCAGAGTGATAAAAGGAACCTGATTAAAGAAACACTCTAATTGTATCATTGCTGTCCAGGCGCTTTACTTTGAAGAGAACCATTCTGTTGACATTTGCACTCGAAAGTAACATCAGGTGCAAGCTGAATAGAATCCAAGGGGTTTATTCCCCCTCAGCCCAATCCTAACAGATCCAAATCAACATGCTGGATAACTTTGACCATGTGTTTGTGGGAAAGTTTAATAATCCCTATCAAACATTTTGAATTGATACATAACTCCTCTCTGCCAAACTGAAGTTGTTTAGATCATATATCTCAGAAAGATGTAAGTATCCAGCTGTTTGGAGTTTTTCCATGTTGCTGGTTTTCATATTTTCTCAGCTAAGGCGGAGGTTCAGACGGCAGACAAATTAAAGGAAAAATCTGAACCTTTGACCCGGCAGCATCAAACATTTTAGTCCTGACGGGAGAGGTCACTTCCTCTCTGATCAGCTGCAGCAGTTTCACCTATCTGCAGAGGGGTCGTCGTGTGATTTGATGAGTTTATAATAATGTGAATCACCAATGACGAGGCACACTGAAACTGTTCTAGAAGCACATGGTGGCCCATCGCCTAACTTAGATATTGTGTGTTGTTCTTCTTCTTTAAACTGCCACCCTGTCTGTAATTGTTGGCAGGATTATTCAAAGACTAACAAACTCGATTTTATGAACGTCGGTGCAAAAGGACAAAGGACATGGTGGAAAGAAGAAGCTATTTTAGTTTAGCGCAGATCCCGATCGCTTTCTTTAAAAAATTACAAAACAGGACAGTGGATTTTTTTCCACTTTTGGTGTAAACCACTGATGTAAGTGGGAATAATGTGCAGCTGCAAGTTAATGTAGCCCACGGGAGGCTTTAATAAGCGAACAGGAGTTCTGTGAGGTACATCCACAACGTTTCAAGAAGGTACCTACATCATTTTAAGCTCTTTCTGCTATAAATTAGGTTCAGCCTGGAATCTAACTCTTACCACATTCTTGCCAACAAATATTACACACGACTTCCCCGGGCAAACTGAAGTTCTGTGATCAACACATGGAGCTGTGCTGATGCATTTCTTCGATTTACAACAGTTTAGTTTTTCCGTACTGAAGGCAAAATGCCTGAGACATGTTGTTGTTTCTACACTTCGTATTTCTCAGGCTGTTTATCATCTGTTTTGCGAACTCATGGTATAAATTATAATGTTATGACACCCTTAGTTTAGCATATCTCAAATTTATTCTGTTTATAGCAAAACACTAGTCACCTTTAATATAATTCAGTTTTATTTATATAGCACCAAATCGCAATAATAGTTGTCTCAAGGCTCCTTATATTGTAAGATAAAGATCCTACAATAATACAGAGAAAACTATCCAACAATCACATGACCTCCTATGAGCAAAGCACTTGGTGACAGTGGGGTGAAAAAACTCCCGTTAACAGGAAGAAACCTCCAGTAGAACCAGGCTCAGGGAGCCATCTGCAGTTACTGGCTGGGGGTGAGGGGAGGAAGAGCTTGTATGTTATTTATTGTGTTAAGTGTCCTGCATTTTAATGAGAATGTCATCATTGCCAGTTGTTAGCCCAGTGTTTAAGTGATTTTTAGAGAATGCTATCAAGCTGACAGCCCAAATTAACATGGTGGACAACGTGATCATGTTGCAGAAATAAGAGTATAGGCCAAAATGTAGTTCTGTATTTACTGTAGAAGAGTTTAACAATATCTTGTTAATTTCTGTGCACAGTGATGGAAGTTGGGAAACCGAAGGTAGCAAAGGACACCTTTTTGCAACAACTAACATCTTATGACATTAATACATTTATATAAAAAGTACTTGTGCAGTTTTTCCACCTCATACTGGTGACCTCTACATTGTGATGCTGTAAATTTTGACTTGACTGTGACAATCTGGTGGTTACCTTCATAAAGCTTGTGGTCTGTTCTGGATGCAACAGGCAAACCCTCAGCTTGGTGCCTCTGTATGGTATCTCCAACATGTCGAATGCGAGCGCCTCGGGAACTGCCAGCACCACAGCAAGCAGCCAGATCAGTGTCACCTCCACAGCTTTCCACAGTGGGATTCCCATCCCTTTCACCCTGCTCCATGATGTCACTGCATGGTAGCTATAAACAGAGACATCCATTAGCTGCTTTTAATACTAACACTTGTCAGTGTCTATGTATGTGTGTGGAGTAGTGGTGTACTCACCGGTCAATACTGAGTGCGCACAAGCTGAGGACGGTGATTCCCACCGACGCTTTCTGGATGAACGGCATCAGCTTACAGACGTACACGCCAAATGGCCAGTCCTCGGCTAACAGCTGCAGGAAAAAGAGACGGAAAGGAGAGAGTTTTGTAAATGTAAGAAGTTCACCTGTGTAAACATGCGGGCAGACCTCTTTGAGGTCCATTTAGGGGTCCTTCTTTCCTCGTGTCTTCTTTCATTAATACAGCTTCTAATGCCAAAAGCAACAACAGCATGTTCCTCGTGACTGCCAAGTCCATCTCCCAGGGGCAATAAGTTCTGCTCAGGGTCAGGACAGCATGTGTAACAACAAATTATGGCCACACATCTGAATATCAGAAGGGACTTTATATTTTTCAGCTGCTCACAGCAGTCTGTACTGTTCACTAATCTATCAGAGGTTGTAAAGCCTTCGCACTCTAAATGTTTCTTCATTAAATCAAAAAGTTGAAATGCATC